GATGAGATCATTTGTAAAGAAACACATCGAAAGCTTTCCGACTTTTGAATCACACTACACGCGAAAAGACTTCAACAGGAGGAATCTAACGCAAGATTTAAGTATAAGACGAAGGTACTCACTGTATGTAGAAAAATGCAAAGGACAAAATAGAAGGTGCACTCTGCAATCTGTATGACACTTTGAAAATAGAAGATAGACTAGAGGAAGCAGCAAAGCACAGCAAGAAAGAAAAAACAATGCTAGAATGGGAAAATCAGCCGATAAAGAAAGGGCAAAGAAAGATCCAAAGTTTTCTGTGTCGGCATTTGATATCCAGGCTGTATCGCCAAACACCATGCAGTTTAATTGGTGAACTTTACTACAAAAGAAAACTGTGTTGTAACAATTTGTCATTCTATGAACTGGGAAATGGTAACGGGACTTGTTATCTTTGGGATGAGACACAGGGGAAACGAGGCTCGTGCGAAGTAGGACCTTGTGTGTACTTGTATGTTACTTCTGATGCAAGTAAGACATCTGTTATTGAAGAAGTGACATTATATAGTGATACATGTGAGGGACAGAATCGCAATCAGTTTGTTGCAAGTTGCTTAGTTCACTGTGCCCAGTATATTCCTCACATCAAGTGTATTAACCACAATTTACTCGAAAGTGGTCATTCAGAAATGGAATGTGATTCCATACATGCATCTATCGAGCATGCAAAAAGCCTCACAAAAGTACATGTTCCATCTCAGTGGGAAACAGTTATATCATTAGCACGCCGGAAGCAACCATATATTGTCGTTCTAATAAAATACACTGACATACTAGATTACAAGTTGTACAAAGAACAAAACTTTAGCTCAATGAAAATTGATGTTGATGGAGAACGTGTTAATTGACTGAATATTAAATGGATTCAAGTTCGTAAAGACAAAGAAATGAAAGAATACATTATTTTTGTGAACTATGGTTTTTGATGTTAGTGAGTTCAAGGAAGTAAGGTTAATGCAGAAGAAGAGCAGAAGCAAAGAAAAGTCTCTAAAGGCTCCGCGAAAGACATATACAGAGAAACTTTCAATATATGCTGCAAAAAAAAAGCTGATTTGATGTAACTTGTTGCCTCTGGGACAATTCCGAAGGAGGTCGAATCATACTACGAGTCATTGCCATGCAGCAAATCTATAAAAGACAAATTGATAGTGAGAGTGAAGAAGATGAGTGAACTTCATGGAATAATTAATGACAAACATTCACATTTTGTTACATAAAACAGTAGTTTTTATTTACTTAACTATGATATGGGTCACTTATATCCTTAATTGCTGATGCCTGTGGTCTGTTTGACTTCAGTTCGATTATATACCAAAGAACATTCAAAATAAATGAAAATTTGTAAACTTAGAATTTAGTGCGTATTTCCCTAACTTTTTAGTTATCAGTTCATTTCTGTAGAATCTTAATATTGAGCAGGTACATATTTTATATCTCTATGAATGAAAATTGTCAATTTTGTGTACGAGTATTATTGTGCATGTGTGTTAATGACATTACGTAAGGTTCTTCAAAGTAAGGACATAATTAATAAATTTGCAACAGTAACAATTACTGCAACATCTAAATTATTTTCAGAGGAACAAGGCTATAACTGCACTTACAACCTTTTACCACAATTTATCTCGAACTTTTATTGCTAAATCTTCAGAAGTAAAAGGTCGTAAGTGCAGTTATTACCTTTTACCGCTCAAACTTGAGGTCTTGACAGGATCTAAGTACATTTATTACCTTTTACTTCTGTAAAATGATTTTATTTTGATCTTAGAACTTTAAAACAAAACATAATTACTGTGTTTTATCAGCACCAAGCAATGTAAACTAAACAAAATATGATCTAATGTAGTCAACAAATATGGGAGAATCAAAATTGTTATGAAAATATTACGGAAAATATGATTTGATCAAATACCAGAAACGTATAGCAAAGTCACGGTATATTTTTTCTTGTTACAAATACATGATAGTGTTACTTCTTTTGTAATTTAGTAGTTCACTGTATACATTACGAACGTCTTTGTGCAACTTAACAAATTAAATGTGTGTATACACAAATTTATATCGTGCCTGTCAACTTAAAATAGCTTGTATTAAAAAATATAATTTTTACATTTATCTTTTTTATTGGTTTTCTTTGTTCATATAAATAATGACAGTTAAAACTGAAAGTTGTCCATAAAAGCAAAAACATGGCTTAATACATTCCTTGGAAATTTTGACTGCATGAACAAGATTGAAGGTATTGCGTTTTTACAACGGAAGCTCTTTTTGCAATCGTTTTAAAGCAATGTTAATTACATATTTGTAGCATTGTAGGGGAATATTTAAATTTAAATTGATTCCAGAAAAAAAAAACATTCATATGAGAATGACAAAAACTTTTTTAGAGTCTATGTGACTTTTTTCGATTATAGAGTTATTGAATGCTCTATAAAAGGCCAGACAATAACTTAATTTTGTTTCTAGATTTGCTTTTTAAAGCCTTTAATTCCTGACATTTTCACGTCTAAAATTGCAATAACTATAGGATAAACAGATAATTCATTTAAATCACAGACAGAAATGTTTTAAATCGAATACTCAACAACATTTCTTAGAATTGAAATTCAGCAGATAATGTCTTGATGGTTTTATACACGGACGCATTATAACAAACATCGGTACAATGGGATGAATATATGGTCATAGGGAACAGCCAGTTAAGCACTAAATGAAGCACACAGATGATTTACTTTGTGAACTATTTAATTTCACCACCCTGTTGATAAAATGGCAAAACGGCATTGATCTGATATAACAGTTTCACGTTTTTAGCGGATGCGTGAATTAATTGAAATATAAATATTCATTAATACTGTCTCTCAGTAAATACAAGTGTCAGAGAAAGATCAAATAAATCAATCTGAAAGTACATCGTTTTTATTAGAAACGCAAATAAGGTAATTTTTCTTCTTTTTAAACTCTGCTGGTAGCTGGCACCAAAAGTGAATAACATTTCATCTCTAAAGGAGACAAGCCATCATGCATATTCTTTCGGTACAGGAATATAACCGTTGGTGACTGACTTTTGAACCCCAAAATAACAATGGACAGTTTTAAAAATAAAGGAAAGCTGACAAATCTATCTTAAAAATTATCAAATAAAGGTAAGTGCAATTAAAACGATTTAGTTTTTTGTACGGTTGTCAAAATACCTTTTGCTACCTATACGACAAATTATTTTACAATCGGCACATCTTACTTCAGGTGATAAGCATCTGGATGCTTTAACTTACTTGTTAAAACACAATCAAAAATACCTTTGCTAAAGAGATAAAGTATAATTTCCCTGACAAAAAGTGCTTTGAAAGGACCAATGGTTGAGAGAATGAACAAAAATATCAGTATTGAACACTGTCATGACTTGTTGAAATTTGAAGTTGAATTAATGAATGTTTACCTGCCAGCGATACACTAGATATTTATTACAATAATCTGTAATTGTATTGTTATTGTATGTACCATACAATATAATTGTATGATGTAAAATTTTACATCATTATGTAAAATAGAATATTTAAGAATATCTAATAATTCAAGCAGCTGACTCGTTATGTCAAAATTGTGCCTTTTGTTGTCACTCTGTATGTTTGATTTACAACCTCATTTTAATTCTAGCCACCTGAGGCTCGGTTCGGGTAACGCGTTTACAAATCAGTCATTTAATGGGACATTTGCCACCATATATAAAAGATCCGCATCAGCATTGAAAGTTCATATTAGTTAAAATCTGACAGGAATATTTTATAAGAATCAAATTGATCGACTTGATTTATAGTAGGTTTGGAACCCACATCTATGTCGGTTGACAATAGAAATTTTATAACCAATGAATCACTAGAGTATATGATTTATATAGGCCTTAAATAGCTGCTAAAACATAAATTGGTCTCAATATCCTTTTCAACGTCAAATTATTATGAAATTCAATGTAAGAAAACATACCATTATGGTTTTCTAGCTTACTTAACAAAGGATTAAATCTTAATTTAGTTCTCATCGAAGATGCTTAAAGCTTTAAATAAATAGGAAAATATTTCATAGGCTCAAGGTTTACTTATTTCACAAGAGTAAAACGCATTCTTGTTTGTAAGATATATATGAAACATTCAATTTGAAGATTTTTATTTTTCAAAAGTGAAATCTTTACTTATGACAAGTGTTGTTGATATTGGTAATCAACTTTTCTTACTGTTTGATAATCAGAAGAAAACAATCAAGAATACGAATACTGATTGATGACATTAGGATGTATGCTTGTACAGGAAGATGCAGTATAGGTCCATGATTGTTGCATATTTGAAAGGAGCCATACTGTTTCATAAAGCTTGATTAACAAATGGTGTTTTCATTATTAATCTTTTTTTATCCACGAAATCTCCCTACAATTTATGAGAAATCGTGAGGGTTGTGACCTTGGTTCCAACAACAGCATTATCTTGTATTTGCTCAATACAAAGTCCATCAGAACTGAAGAGATGATTCTGTTTGCAAACGATTTATCATCAGACAAGAAATAATGAAAAAAACAGTAGAACAGCTATGTTGTTATAATCAAGCAATAAATATAAGTGGTTGCACATGCACATACACATTATCTTGACTGTCAGGAAATGGCCGTTATCTCATTTAGTCCCATTTAATATTGATAAAAATCAAGGCAATGTATTTGTCATTTACTTATAAAGATATTTTTTGTTGTTGTTTTTGTTTGTTTGTTGTTTTTTTGTTTTGTTTTGTTTTGTTTTGTATGCATAACTATTTTCAAAATAGCTAGGTTGAACAATTGGCTCAAAATGTTGCTAAAAGGCTGATCAATTTGCAAAATCGTTCGTTCTATCCTGTGTCTAAGGTTAACCAAGTGGCATGAAACACATTACTTTTTCAAAACTTCCTTACATAAAAACAATAAAACAACTATATTTATTTTTATTTCACAACATTTTTATTTCCAAAAATATCACAACAACATGCCACTGTTGGACATAATATATATATCTCTGAATAACAATATTGATTCAACAATACTTAACGTAATCTAATATTAAACATGGATTGGTAATTATAAAATACTATATGTATGCAAATAGTACATAAGCTTTGGTTTCGGACAAAATACATATTTCTGCAGATTACTTTTTGGAAACGGAATACACTCCTCTGCAAAACTCCGACTTATACCAACTTGTGTATATTTTATAGATGTATTTTTTATTTATATAGACCGTGAGAAAAGTATTGGTTAGACAAACAATATAACCAATAATACTACGTCAACTAAAGAAATGTCAACGAAATTATAAATTAAATACGAAATTTTGAAACTTACAAAAGTTATACAAGTTAGATTGCATTGGCACTTGGCTTCTAGTATATTTTAATTCTTTAGTTCAACAAAAGAAAATGCTTAATTCATTATTGTCATGATCATTCGATTTATAAAGTCGGTGTATCATATTTTTCCTATACACATGAATAATAATATGAACTGTATGACAACTCATAAGGATTAGCTCCTGCAAGTGTAGGATGTTTCGTCAGAAAAAATATATAGTTATTTGTCAGGTAAGGCGGTAACAAAGCGGTAAACAATGAATTAAACGGTAAGTATCTTCCTAAATACCTAGTTTGTTACTCTACTTTTTAAAAAAAATAAAAATTAACCTTTGTTATACCATCAAAATGCCCAGATTAAACATGGTAACCTTATTTCTTTTTAGAAATTACTAACTCAATTAATAAGATAGGAAACTTAATATTTTTTGCCATGGAAAGAATGGCCGTTTATCAAGATTATCAGAACTTTCAGGAAGATACAAGATAATTACACGCATAAAATACATATTATTCATATATCAATCAAAATCATTCACGTAATAGTTGTTTTAATTCTAATCATCTTTTTCTTTTGGCATTTAATGGAGAATTTTGATATCATATTTACATTAATATCATACCTTAACACATCAATAGTACGTCTATCACGATAATAGTAAACATTCATTAATTTTTGTTTTGAAAATAGAATACATAAATATTTAACATGATATATATCATATCGTCCTTGAACTAAGAGACGACATGTAAAATCATATGTACTTGCAACTTAAGAGGCAATAAACGAATTATTATCCATATATAAACCACCTGTTTTTAAATTTTGAATATAATTGTACTCCATTTATCATTTCTAGAAAATATTTTACAAAAAGAGATCACATATGACATCTACACAAGGGTATCACTAATTTGACTTGGTGAATATGGACAAATGCACATTGTTTTACTAAACTAATATTCATTAACGATATTGCTATTGCTATTCGGGTGAGTCCAATTCTGATTCAAGACCATCTCTGTTTAGACCACGAATGTGAACATACTGTATTGTTTTTGTGTTAAAGTCTGAACTTGCACTTACGCCACACCAAGGATTTGCAAACAAGCCCTCGACTTCCTCTAGACTCTTTCCCTTAGTCTCTGGTAGCCAAACGAACAGCAATAAGGCCCCTAGCAATGACAGACCCGCATATAGTAAAAATGTTCCTGAAAGCATAACATTTAACGATATGCAAAGTAACGATTGTTTCCTACGTTTAAACATACATATGAAAGAAAGAACATTTCCACGGCACGGAAAAAAATTACAAGCAAAAGGTAAACCTATATATAGAGAATGCGTTTTGTGTACTAACTTAAACACAATCACCTTATATATTTTGTACATTTCTATCACAAATTTGACATTTTTATCGAAATAAACAAAAATTGTCTTCCAGATATCAGAATTTAGAAGTTATGTTATTCACCCTTTGTTTGTCTTCAAGGATGTCTTTGGGTATAAGAAAAGGTTTAAAATCAATGTTAAGTCTTTCTTCAAAACAAAACTTACCAAATCTAGTAAGACTTTCCATGAGAGTAAGAAATGACATTGACACGACCAGATTGAAGACCCAATTTGTGAACGTTGATACTGAAATAGCTGTACTTCTTGCCCACAGTGGATATATTTCTGAATTTATTGTCCATGGCATTGGTCCCATTCCTGAATAAAGTATAAGCATTAAAATTATAGATGCCCAATTTATAGAAAAAGAGAAAAATGGGAAAGTATTGTTAAATCGAATGTATATATTATTTATATTTATCTTTTGCCTAGACTACATCAAATATTACAGCATACACATAAATTGTTAATGTATGCTTACAAATTAAAACAGTATATGATTTATAAGATCAAATAAATGAATTTTTGTCATGAACAAACTATGGTTCTTAACTTACCTGGTGCAAAGGTCATAAGGTATAAAATAAGGCCGACCATCGGCATCCACGAATAAGGTGATGGGCAGTAATCATACGCCCATGTTAATTTTCCAGGTAAACCCTGTACGTTACACCTTCCAGATAATGACACCCAGGGGTTGTCCGGGCTTGCTGGCAAACATGATCCATTTGATATAACAGAACCTTGATTATCGACGAAACAAAATCCGCAAACCAAATCCATCATACAATCATTGCATGTGCTGCAAATATAATAAAAGAATATAAGCGAAATAATGCAAATAATGTTGTTTTGATACCATAATCGATGTAAGTTCACGATGGACGCATGTGTTCACGATTAGGGATTATTATTTTGTAGGTTAGAGTAAGATATGTTCAAATAAAACTCTCTTGCTGAACGCTTATAAGATGAAAGTAATGTGTTCTAGGGTTCTAGGGAAGAAAAAAAAGATAAAAGCAATCTTTCCCACATGATAATAAATCTCTCAGGTAGTTGCTGACCTATCAATTGCCTTCTACACAAAATCTATCTATCAAATAAAGTCTTCAAAAGGTTTTACTAAGAATATGAATTTTCAGAGTTTTTATCGATTACAAACAGTTTGTGATCGATTTCTTTGAATACATTTATTTGAAGACAAGAATGTTTAGGCCAAATAGTCTTTTCGATCTGTCTTTGGTCTTTTAAAATCGTAACCATATCAAGAAATATAAAAAAAAATTTAAATATGTTTTCAATTATAAAATAATTTAAATTGTTAACTTAATACAATGCAAATAACAACGAATAAAGGTGACCTGTATTCTCTAATAAAAATAGTTTATCTATTTTCGGTTTAAATGAAAAAATGCATTAAAATAGTTTCCCTACACTAGGCAATTGGTGTTTTATGCAACAATTAATACATTTTCACAAAAAAAGAAAACAACAGAAAAAACAACCAAACGTCATACCTATGAGAAAAACAAGACGTATTTGATGGTGACTTTTCAGCCATTGATATTCTCGGGGTATTCAATGATGCCACATGAAATCCGACCGCCAGCAAAACCAAACTCACAATAGCACCTTGAATTAAAAAATATTTTTTTACGATAGTGTTATATCTGTAATAACAAGTTTGATTTGATTTGTTCTCGTAGGTTTCTGACAGAGAAGTTTTTATTTTGCATAATGTCGTTCTCATTGTCTGATAAGTAATATAGTTGAAAATATACTAGTATCATATTTTAGAATAGAATAATAGCACTTTGCAACGCCAGTTTAAATGTGACGGGCTACTTTGACTTTCCTATATACAGAAATTTCCTCTACTTATATGATAAAATATTGTCCCGCATACCCCCTGACAATTTGACCTCGAACAAAATTGGATTCTCTTGCGTGTAATTTTTCATCCCCAAAACAATTAACTTTTTTCTTATTTGAGGTGTTTAATATATAATCATCACTAACGAATGACTCGTTGCTTTCCTTAATGAGAAGAAACAGGATGTTATAAAATGGTTAAAGACTGATTTCCCACTCCTATTGAAAACATGAAACAGTTATGACAAAAGTCTAATTCATGATTCATTAATATGTTTTTTTTCTGGTGAATAACAAAGGAGTTTTCTGAAATGGAAGAAATTAGAAAATTTTAATACGTGTTTGTCATTTGAAGCAATGCCATTACATGGGAGTTTTTCGTCATACAGCAATAAGCCGGGAGAGACGACAATTCCAAACTTTACACTTGATGAACAAATCTTAAAAGATATCTATCTCTTTTTAGAAATTCAATCTTTATAATTCATCAAGCCGTAAGACAATTTTTTCAATTGTTTTCTAGCTATTTCATGACAACGATAATGAATAATGAATACTCTACCAGTGAGACTTCCAAGTGTTAAAGGACGTCTTCCAATTTTCTCTACGAGATATAAACCTAATAAAGTAAACAGGAAATTCACAGCTGCCATTACTGACGACAGCCAAATAGCCACCTCATCACTTCTAACACCCGACATTTTAATGATTGTAGCGCTGTAATACCTGAAATAGAAAAAGTAAGTGAAAGTATGATGCACGTTTCTTGTGATCAAAGATCCTGTATGTTGTAATTAAGGACGTAACATACAGTTAAGTAAAAATTTATATATGTATATAAATATTATTTGAAAACAATTTCAAAACATCCAAGAATATGTTGAATATGTACAGCAAATATTTATATACATTATAATTGGACGATAACATAAATGCATTAATTTTTTTATTAACAAACAGAAACTTCATCGAAAATCAACTCTTATTACATCCTTTTATTTTCATTAAATATTAATTTCGGTAATATTTACAAATAATGTTTTTTTCAACTTACAATTTTGAAAAAATCTTCATAATTATGATCATCATATTTATTATATCAAACCATCAAAAATAAACAAACTGAGTTATCTTATTTTAGAAATAACACATATTATACATGTTAAAGTCATTATATTTTTGTCCTGGATGCATGTTCCGTTGCTGTTTTTTTCTATTTCTAAAAGAAATATATATCATTGCTGTTAAATATTCTTACTGTGTTACCTTTTCTAAACAAATTTATAATTATTATTATTTTTTTTATTCAATAAATGATTAATAACTATAATTGTAAGTCCATTATAAATCTATAGTTCTTTTGTTTATTAGATCTGAAATGTAAGTGAATAACAAGCGTCTTTGGCAAGATTTACCTGAACAAAAATAATGTTTAGATCTAGATAATATTTTCAATATTAATACATCTCATCGATGTAAGAAAAACCAATTATTTAAAAATCGAAAATTAAATTTGCTTATTTCACGAACTGAAGATTTTCGCGAAATATATGTATTTGTTCGCTTTTTATCTACCATATATAATTTACATAACTCAAAGAAGTAATACGCACATATTTCATGTATTTGCAGTCGAAAGTTTGTTCAAAATGTTGATTTCGAGAAAATTTGGAATCTGAATGTGCAGTATATTTCATATTTGCATAAGTAAAACATCGGCAAAAGGTAAAATACTTCGAGATCAATGAAAACAAAACAACAACAAAAATCTAAAACTATGTGCAACATATCTTATGTTTTTACACCGGTGAGTCTTCCACCAAGAATTTTAGTCTTTTTTTTATATAGAACATTGACAATATTGAAATAGCAAAACATACTGGTCATAGAATTATAATCAAACTACAAGAAAAATTACCAATGCGGAGAATTGTGACCGTCATAATAAAATGACCCCCTGTAGTTTGTTACAAAAAGTGGCCCCTGATTACTCTTAACAAAAACGAAATTAATACGGAAACAATTTTTAAAAAAGAAAGTAAAAAACAATTACAACAACATTAAGGAGTAAGGCAGGTTTCTAAAGTGTTTTTTTTTTCAGTAGTGAGTAATAGGAGGTCACCTTTTTTATATGACCAAAGGACAGTATTTGATACACCGATTTTAGCTGATCGAGTCTAAACGAATAAACTACTGAAATAGATCGCCAAGATGGGTGTAAGATATCGAATGTGTTAGTAGTATAAAATAATGTGTAGATTTTTATATTTTCAAATATATTATACCAGCGAGTGAGCGACATATAAAAGAGGATATGATAATATAATTATACGTTTACATAAGAATATTACTCTCTTCATTAATGACAGAACCAGTTTATGCAGTTCTACATTTAACCTGGGTAGTGCAATAAGATTGGCCCTTTGTAAGGAATCATATTAGCAAAGCATTTTCAAATATACTCTGCAACATTTTGACTGACCTCAGTGACCTCGGGGGATAATCAAAGCGCGCTTGTTTTCCGTCTATCCCTTTCTAACAGTCAAAATAATGACATTAACCCTTTTGCTTGTCTGTTTGACAGTTCCTTTCGTTAAATTGCACACTTGCACACTTGATTTAAACCTTTCTATTTTAACCGTTTACAAGACAACAAAAGTTGAAGAATCGTAGCAAAGAACCTTTGCTGAATTAATTGATTTTTGTAATTGATTCACGCAATATTGAATAAAATAATGTATTTAAGTCTTTTGATGTAATTTTTTTATCAATATTGTGCAAATTCTGTCACTAACTAGAATTCATTATTAAACACGACATTGTTGCATTTCAAAATGTCATCTTGTTATATAAATAATAACCTCAAATGCTACATGCAAACCCTTGAAAATATTTATCTACTTGTGTCATGAAAGTTTACAAATGAGCTCATGAGTTAATGTGAGTTACTGTCAAACTAGAAATACACCAATAAAGCTAATGTTCTATTGCAGGGCAAATATATCCTTGAAAAGAGAAAAATAATCCCATTGATTGAGTAATTGTATAAGAGTAGATAGGCGAACACTGTCGGAACTCATTAACAATAAATCTGTTTCCATCTCCATTAGCAGCTAAGATACATGTCTTCCTAGAACAATTCAAGATGTGACAATATTTCCAACAATCAATACTCTCTAAGATTGTGACGTAGACCCTAAGAACCTCTTAATACATGTTTCGAGTAAATTTCTCCAACACAAACATATAGTACTGAACCTAAATGGCTTCTTTATGTACGAAACTAAACCTTTAAATACATTGTTGTATATAAGTTTCACATTTATACAGTAGATTAAATGTAAATGTAGAATACAAACACAAGCACACAAAATCAACTTGAAAATCATCTTTAAAGGAATCAGTTATATTCAGGAAATAACTAGAGTAAATAAAAACAAATTCTCATTATTTGCCCTATGTTTCTTGAAATATTTTGATGTAATAATGCCGACTTCTTGATTACCCATTTAGGCTTTGGTATCATATTATTCTTAAGTGTAATTGAATAACAAAAGGGGTAATTGTCCTTTAACAACTATCTGCTGCAAATCAGGAAATTGCTTTTTCCACAAGTTGCAGACGTCATTGTAGCTTAGCAACCAAACTCTCCAGCAACGATATAGATAAATAAAAAAGGCAAACAGAGAGGTAAAAGAAAATGTACAGGCTTAATTAGTTACAGCGTTTTCCATTAATGGAAATTGGCAGTGAAAACACTTGTGGAAAATTGATTGATCATTATTAGCCTCTTCAATAGTCGCTTGATGAAATATGGCAATTGATATAAAATTGATTAAGCTTTTACAAATATTTATACCTGTCAAACTCTAGATAAAAGGACAAAAGTTACGGTAAATTTATTGCATTAATCTAATATGCAAAGCCAATGCGAGCCTATGCAAAGGAATGATCTGTTTCCAATATACATTTTTACGCAAACTTGTTTTTTCCTTCACGTTCCTTATATTGCATTTCTGACATAGGACCATTATCTACTGTATGTACGGGTTCAAACATAAAGGTAGAACGATGTTCTCGGAATGCAATCACCTACAAACAACCACCGACAAACAACCATCAATAAACAACCACCGACAAACAACCACCGACAACTTCAGTAGCACAATACAACTGGAAATGCATCTGGCATTATTATTAATACGTGTGTTTTATCTTATTGATTATTTCTCCTCGTTGTAAGCTTTAACACAGTTCAATTAATTTTCAGAAAATTCTCATTTTCTTGTTTATTTAAAAGAAAAAACAACAAACATATGAAATACTCTTATAGGTTAATAAATTATGATACAGGGAATTCAATTTGAAAAATATATATTGGAAGGTTTTCTTTCGTCAACTTATCCCGGACGCATGTTTGGCGGCGTATGAAATGCTAGAAGTCTCCGTCCGTCTGTCTATTGATCCAAGCAAAGATCGAATTCTTTATGAGCTTCATTCCGTCCTAAATATCAGTTGCAAAAGAAGGAAACCACAAAAAACATAGGGTTTAAGAAGTGTTTTTCACTAGTTTTGTATGAAAAATTCGACATAAAGATAAGACAAAAAACAACATAATCTTTCGTCAAACATTAATGCCCTGAGCATATCCCTAAAGGTTTATAAGATGTCTATTTGAAATTTTAGGTATGGAGAGATCTTATCAAAGAGGAGTACATGGTATCAGAATGAATGTAATGCTCCATTTTTGTCTGTAGCATGTATTAGAGGTAGCTAGATCTCATGAAGCAGTGTAGTGCGTATCTGATAACTATTAAATCATTACCTTTGGAGTTTTTCTACATTCCTGTCATACTTCATTAAGTGTTTGTGATACATGGGTCGGCTTGAAACATCATTGAAGTCAGGTTGAAAGTTCTAATTGTTAAGAATGCTTACTCTCTTACTTTTGTAAGGAATAAAACTTAGAAGTATTTTGACATATCAACTTAAGACTTTATAGCTCTCATATACCGGCTTTGAATTGTTTGGTCCTTTTCCAATTTATGTCTATTCAAATGTCAATGCGTGCTAATAAACTGTATTCTTTTCATATATTTTTCTCGTTGGCAACTTATTTCTTTGTTTTCATTTGTTCGGGGCATGCGATGCGGGTTGATAGTTAAACATTTTTTAAAATTATGTCATCATTTTAAAATCACAAAATCCTGACATTAAGATAAACGAAGGAACCGTCATTTCAGAAGGTGCTTCGGAATTTCAAAAAGTGCGTTGATAATTTTCATGAAGAGAAATACACAACATTTAGACATGCCACTACAGATGATGAACTCGATAAAACTACCACTTCTATTCAAAGATCTACCCAGATACACTTACATGACAGTGTTTATCCCCGCTAGTTGTTGTATCATCTGTAAGGAGCATCCTATTGCAAGACCTCGTCTTAAAGATGGATATCTTAATATCTGTAATAGTACAGGCATGCTTGCTGAAACAAAGATTGTTTAGATTTATTTCAAATGTCTGACTTTATAAAATAAAAGTTGTGAAATACTAAAAGTTGTACATTGTATCTTGATGAAGTAATATTGTTCTTGCTACTCTGTTTAACTGATGAAATAATTATTTATGATTTTATTATTACGCTTTTTATAGAAACCACAGACAGTCGGTGCGTGACTTGGATAGTTATTCATATATGTACACTCCCTCTTCTTTTATAAATTAAATAATTTTTCTTATTCAACATGTTTTAATAACATCATATTTTCAGTAAAACAACAAAAGAAAGTTATATTCACTTCATTCATATATACTTTAAATAAAGACAAGGTAGAAAGGTTTAATATAAGTTATACAACAATGTCTAATGAATCAGTAGTTAATGCCAGCGTTTTAGCGGCCTAATACATCACAAAGAAACGACAAGTTTGTGATTTTCATTCCGAAAAACAGTTGCACATTGGTTTTATTATGAGTCATAAAACTTATGCAAATGGTTTTTAATTAACACTGTGAGATAAATGTAAATAATGCATTGAATACTATCTTCAATCATGGACGGTTGGACACACACATGGTAAGTCAAAGGCACAATATCAGAAATAACAAACAATGATGATAATTCTCAACTTTTACATTTTAATTGTTGTTCTTCCTTTGCATCGAGACATGTGGATTTTATACTGTCATATTCGTCTTCTATATCAAGCTGTCCACGTATCGACTGCAAAACTCTTCGCGCCTTCTCTTCTTGGGCTGAGACAATCAACCACCGAGGACTTTCTGGCATGAAGATGAAACCAACAAACTGAATAAACGACGGTATGCCAGACAAACCAAGCATGTACCTGTAAAAAAAGATATTTCTTGACGAATTGCCATATTTATTTACTATCATTCGTTTGTTGCACTCGTTCATATATTGAAAATGAATCAGTTTTGGTTTGCAATATAAGTAGATCCTATGACTTGTCTTTAGCGCAACATTGTTTTATAACCTTCTCTCATGAGAAGGAAGAACTATGTTTGTTGACACTTATTGAGACGTGACGATATTAAACTTAACCTAGAAGTCAAAAACATTCAAAATGTATATGGTTGCAGACATCTTGATACTTTGAGTTCAGTGATAAACAAAGTATCTAGTAGGAGACGAAAGAAATTAGTGTATTTTTATCATTGAAAGAACTTTAGTTACAAAATGGCAAATATGTTGTTCCTCTTTATACATTTTATCTCAACTATAAAATAAATGTCATTCTTGCTTGTTTTAATTATGTCTTTGTTTTCTGTCATTATATAAAGTTTTTCTGTCCAATCAGACCCATATGTTTTATTGCATCATAAAAAAAACATCGTAGAGTCTTGTCTGGTTCCTTGCCTTTATTCAATTGGAAAGAAGTGTACCAGCATACTTATAGTCTATTTCAAGGTTAATTTGTCCGGTCAATATTAAAGTTAAAACAATCAACGTACTGTTAGTGTTTATACAGTTAACTATTTTATTTATTGGACCTAGGAAGCGAGCATGGGTGTAAGTGCAATTCACAACTGAGGGTGTCAAAAATAAATGATGATTCGATATCAGCAAAATCCATGCCTTAGATTTTGTTTCTGAGAAAATTAATAAGCTATTATCAACAATACTTTTAATGATTCTTCCAGCTGCTCTTCTTAAACGCCTGTTTATAATCATTTAATTTAGGCCCTATAAGGAAATTGTGCTGGGTAAAACTTGCACATGTACATATTTGTTATAAGATGAAGCCTTCACTATATGCAGAAAATACTTTGAATGAGCCCACTGCCCCATGCTGTCTTCAATTACTTTACATTTACACTTATTTTGAAGTTAAAATCATCCGTAAGTTACAAAAATACAATTTGTAACGAATCAACTTACCTCCATCCATTTTTCTCATCAGCACCAAATACACCATCCACAATACTGGCAACAAATTGGCCGCATGCAACCATTGCTATGTTTGTGGAGACAAGCCTTCCTCTGATACTGACTGGTGAACATTCTGCCAGGTACATAGGCACAGTTGTAGACATGAGACCTGATAAAAAAACATACCACTTAAGATATAAGAGAAGTGAACTACATGTCACAGACATTCTGATAAAAAATTATGAGCGATTGTCCAAAAGGCAGATCTTTTTTTACAGGACGCATTTCACACAATCATTCAGTTGCACTTATACATCGGAGCGTCACCAAGCTGGGTACTGAACATGAAAAGCGGATAAAAAAGCAGGCAGAGGAGATGTCATTAAGAAAACGTCTCCTAGAGTATTTTTTTTCTATGTTGTCTATGTTGAGAAATTCATATAGAGTCATAAAGAGTCATTTTTCTCTAAGTCGTCTTACAAAGTAATTTTCTTCTAAGTCGTCTAAGGTAATTTTACAGTAAGTCATTTAGCTATGTTCCTCTACGTCATCTAAAGTTATTTTCCTCTAAGTTATTTAGATTGACTCTTCCCTTAGCAAACTGTTGTGTTTTAAATAATGATAAAGCTTATAAAACATATTACAGAATTTGTCGGTAAAAATTTATTTACGAAAATTATAGAAACATGTTTGGCTTTTGTCATCTTAACAATTTGTATGCATACATGTCTGACTTTGAAAACGTTTGCAAAATTTGTGTACAAGTTGAATTCGACTTAAGACGGTGCCAGGGGTGTGGACGGTAGTTTGCACTTGACAGTACTGTCCATGAACAGGCTCAATCAAACAGTCGTCAACATTTTCAATTTTGTTGTTTTGGACTTTCTTTAGTGATTCTTATTTTCTCTATTTTGTCAGTAGTCGAATGAAAACAACAACGCATTTTATTCAATGCAAGATTACTACTGTTATGGAAGTTTAATATGTATTGTATGGACGAACTTTAAAGCAACTGTTAATGGTATCTGTTTTTCGTGAAAAATTGTTTTATATTTTATATACTGTCATCCAATTTTCTATAAATAAACTATATAAACTATTGAAATGAGCAAAACCCTATACAATTATTTTAAAATAATTTTACTTTCAAGAATAATTTATAGAAAGCACTTTGCATGTCAGAAGAATGTAAAATTCCATTTGTAAAACTATTGAATACTTTTCACATGTGGTGTACGCTTGAAATAGATATATTTGATATGTTTTAACCTTTTGCGTAAAACAAGTCACACCAGAGGATCTACTGTTACTTTATAATGTTACATTTAGTCACTCTCCTTGAAACAAACGGGAATAAAATATGTACAGAAATAGAATCTTCATTAATATTAATGCTATACATCTGTTTACATAGGGAACGTGTTACATTTCGCTAATAATATTCTTAGCTTTATACCCTTCTATGGCAATACAAATTATTAACAACAAAACTGACATTTCAAGCGTACGTGGGTGGATCAAGAGAGCTTAGAAATAAAGTGAGTTTAACCTAATGAAACGTGTATAGATAATTTTATCTGATTCGTTTAATGTCTGAATATAGAAAGACCATGATTTAGCAAAAAGCTAGTGCTTTTGTTTCTAAAACTGTTTATACCACCACTTTCAGAATTTTTTATCAGATAAACTTTGTCAAAAGATGTTTTTTACATATATCACAGACTATGCATTGCACACAGGAAGATCGTTTGGAATGATCAACTTATAACAGAGCAAAAAGAATCCTTTAAATCGAAATCCTATGCGATAATGGTTTTAAGTGAACATCAGACAAATATCAGACAATCATAACAATAAGAAAGATTCTATTAAGATATATCAGTTTTGAGAGTATATTGACCAGTTTTTAGAGTATATATCATTAAAATACAAATAATGTCATATATTAAGAGATCTTTGACGAAACGGATTACGTTATTTAAAAGCACAGAAAGTGAAGCTTCGTTTCAGGCTATGGATATTTTTGTAAATTAAATTTGACTGGTTAACCATTTCAATACCAAAGTTAAAAATACAACGTGGTGGCTGAAAAGTACTTGTTTTTAAGTATTAGAATTTTAAAACAATATTCTGTAAAATGTGGTCTGGATAATTAGGACATTGACCGTTTGTAAAATGTTGTTTGAAACAATGACAACAAAATTTTGAACAAAAACCTGTGAAACAAACTGCGAAAATATGTGTAGTAGCATTAACACATATTATGTAGTGTGTACTGCAATAAACAAAAATAAGTCAATATCTTCCGAGCAGACCACCACATCAAAGTTACCACATTAAAATAGAAATAGTAAATACACACGCACTAAAGCTTGCTTTTACCAAATCACTAGTTTGTACATGGACCTATAAAACAGTGATAATTTTCCAAAATTTCAAATGCTCCTGATCACTTTTCTAAATTAACCAGTATCACCTATGAACAATTCATTTAATAATTTTACAAAAATTCTGATGCTCATGATTTTATTCATTTTATATAATATTCAATTGATAAATCAATATACTTTTTTTGTATCAGAAATACCTTACGGCTTACTAAAGTTGCATCTCATTTGTTAAAGAAAGTAATGGACTTATTTTTGCCTTTGCATTAAGGCTCACCATTAGTATATGTTGTTTGTGTATAGAAATATTTTTCATCATTTGTTGCTATAAACATCTGCACAACGTTTAATGTTTAACGCTAAAACAAATCTATTGTCAGTGTCATATAACATTTATTTTTTTTTATAAATATGAGGTTATGAGTGCATTTTACATTATATTTGTATGCAATAATGTCATGTCTGTCATAGTAAATTGATTTATAATCATATGATAGAAAAAACTACAATGGATGTCCAATTAATAACATACATGTGAAATCAACCTCATTATTTCAAAAGAAAGATCTTGAGCGAAATGGACCACTCAATATTAGTCTCAATTAATCCTCCTCCTTACTTTAATATGACGACACTATTTCTCTAAATTGCTTTATCAACATTTGTTATTCATTTGAGATGTTTGTTTATTTTTTCTAGAGGCCCGTAGTCAAATAAAAACAAGGCAACAATAGTCCGTTATCAAGAAACAATTGAAAAGACACATGTTCTTATCTTGGCAACATATGATTTTGTTTGGAAATATTAACCTTTCAGATTTTTTTCAATTAGTTTTTATAAAAAAAAGTTATATAACATATCATGAAATGTTAAATTGTATTGTGTTATAGGCATTGTATTTACATGCTTTATGTAATAAACATTTGAATAATAATATTACTGTTTGTTATATGACAGAACATCATCTGCCTGATTTTAAACTTGATATAGTATACTCATATGGCTGTAAGGCAATGATATCCATACATAACACAGGAATACACAATTTATATAACTGACATAGATCTGATATACTTACAGGTCTGTTTAATTATTGTTTTAACATTTGCTAATATTTCTCCATAAGTTACACCTTAGCTTCTCTATAATGATAAATCAACAATCAATTATTCTCTTATTTTCAGTTGTACATTCAAAGAGCTTACATCCAACCGCAATATTTTTGTATCTTTATTTTGAAATTTTTTTTACTTGAAAGGAATAGATATAAGTATTATTTTACTTGTTTTCCAATCCAGTCTGAATTACATTGTTGTGAAATGTTTGTGAATGTTATTCTATGTACAATTTATTGAATAATTAAAGTTTAAACAAACCTTTGTTATTATTCAGCATATAAAAATCAATTATGAAAATTATAAAAAGGAATCTAGGAAACAAAAAGGTTTTAGAAATAAAATGAAAATATATTTCTCAAAGCAGCTTGATTGTAAGCGCAAGATGCACCTGTGCAAACCTATGAAGGAATGGTTACAAAAATATCCGAAAAAACGACCCAATCATGGTATTGTAATTGCTTCAAAACCTGACATAAATCAAGCTTTACAGCCTATAAAGAAGATAAATGTATTGACCATCTCTCACAAAGAAACCTATTGTGATTGATTAGAGGAAGTTAAAGTAAAGTAATTTTACCCATCAGGCCTATAATACAGCAAGGAACAAAGTAACAGAGACACTAATCAATTAGAATGATACGGTTTCCGTGACTACAGTCGAATTCCAGCCTCATCATTACTAATAAAGGAGTGACAAATTCTGAATTACAATTCCCCCGGAAAAGGTTTATAGCTTCGTAAACATTCTTTCGCCTGTTCCGAAGATATAGAAGAAAATAAAGCCACAGAAATAGCAAAAGTTATTATCTCGTTGATACAGTCAAAGCGATTTACTTTGATTCATGTAATATATAGAATTTATAGAAGACAACTGATAATACAAAAGTAACGGTTCCTTGTAAGATAGGAATATCGGATTTTAAAGACTTCACATACAATATTTTTTTGTGGATGTTTATGTACACAAACAAATGCATTTCTTTTCCCAAAAAGGTAATCCTGATAAATCACCTAATGTCTTCCTTACGATTAATTTTGTTTTCACAAGCATGCATTTATTACTTGACTTGAATCAAAAAAGGAAACCAACAGATTATAATTGTAAATAAAAAAATATTTTGATCCTACACAAACATGGGACACCTTAGCTCAAAATATATAAATCAAGCGGTTTCAAGGTTACAATATTATCATCCTTCCTTATTTAGAAAGACCCTAATTGATAAATGGGGTGAGCCTGGCGTCTATAAATAAACAAAACCAAGAGAGTTATGGTTATTTAACAAAACACAACTCTGCGTGGTTAACGAGTATGGCTTTCCATAATTTTGTATTAAAAGATCATGATTTCAAGTTTCAGCATTTCTCTGTACCCTGTATGCCGACTAAATTACTTCCTTTATCTAAGTTATAATTATCATTCAAATTAATATCCCCCAACATATGCACATTCAGATATTTTCTCTAAATGAAATAAGGATATTTACTCAATCTCTTACATAACTTTAAACTGATACATGGGAAATAATAAATGCACACGCATTCTAGCTGTTTCTTTTTGCTTAAATTGTTGGTATTGTAAAAAATACAATAACAACAACAACAAAAATATCTCACTATCGGTCAATGTTTCCAAGAGAAATTCTCAATATTCAGCAATTTTT